ATAAATCATACACTGCGTTGTAATCTTAATAATGCAAAAATGCTGAACTCAGAGTATTTTCTCTGGCCACAATAGAATTAAATTAGAAATGAATAAAAAATAAGATATGTAGAATATCTTATTCCTTATTTATTCCCAAATATTTGAAAATCAAACACACTTCTAATAATCACATCAGAGATTAGAAAATAGTTTAAACTGAATGATGATGGAAGTACAAAATGAAAATATTTGTAGGATGAAGCTAAAGCTAAAAAGAGAAATTTATAATTTTAGTGAACTTATATTGGAAAAGCGGCCCAAAATTAATGGCCCAAGTCTTTATCTTAAGAAGTTAGGGGAAAGGGGCAGCCCCGGTGGCACAGTGGTTTAGCACTGCCTGCAGCCCAGGGCGTGATCCTGGAGACCCAGGATCGAGTCCCATGTCAGGCTCTCCCCCTCTCTGTGTGTCTCTATGAATAAATAAATAAATAATCTTAAAAAGAAGAAGAGGAAGAAGAAGAGGAAGAAGAGGAAGAAGAAGAAGTTGTTGTTGTTCTTAGGGGGAAAAAAAGAAAAAAAAAAAAAAAAGGAAAGTAAGCCCAAAGTAAGAAGAAAGGAAATAAGAAAAGCATATTATCAATGAAATAGAAAATAAATAGAAATTAACAAAGAGAAATTTGATTCTTTGAGAAAGCTGAGAAAATTGACAAACTACAAGCCAGAGTGATCAAATAAAAAGATAGACTAAAATGACAAATACCCCAAATGAAAGAGGGCTTGTCACTGCAGATCCAATAGACATTAAAAGGAAAATAGGAGATTAACAACTTTATGCCAACTAATTTGACAACTTAGATGAAATGAATAAATCCTTATAAAATACAATTTAATGAAGAACTGTTTCAAAGTAAAGGAGATTAAGTAAAACTGATAACAAAAATGCAAAGCATGAATCAAGGTTTAATCCTGGATCAGGAGGTGAAATTACTTTGAAGGTCATTACTGGGACCATAGGTGAAATTTGAAAATGAACAATGTATGATTAGTGTTGCTTCAGGGTTAAATATTTTGAATTTGATATATCCTAATGGAAAAGAAATTTGATAGTACAGCTGCAGTTTGCTGCTGTACAACTAAGACTAGTGATGGAATTCTGTGGAATCAGAAGTTAATTTAAATTGAGACTACTTTTGAACTTAGACATCATTCAAGTAAAAACATTAGGACTTTTGCACTGTGAAATAACCTAATAAAAGTAAAATAGAAATGTAACTGAAGATAAGATTAGGTTCATGTGGGGATCCCTGGGTGGCTCAGAGGTTTGGCGCCTGCCTTCGGTCCAGGGTGTGATCTTGGAGTCCCGGGATGGAGTCCTGCATTGGGCTCCCTGCATGGAGCCTGCTTCTCCCTCTGTCTGCGTCTCTGCCTCTCTCTCTCTCAGTCTGTGTCTCTTATGAATAAATAAATAAAATATTAAAAAAAAAGATTAAGTTCATGTGTGTAAGTGTAACTGAGTTCAATATATATGTCACATAATACTTAGGATAACAGAAGGCATGCTGATGGGATTACAAATCAAAGAAGTAGGAAAGGGGTGCCTCAGTCAGGAGAGCATGTGACTCTTAATCTTGGGGTCATGAGTTCAAGCCCCATGTTGCATGTAGAGCTTACTTTAAAAAAAAAAATACTGCTGAAAGGACGACTTGAGATGAATAAATATTTGTAAAACAAAAAACAAGGGAGCAGGACCAACTTGCCCATTCCTAGGTTCAGGGTCAAGAAATTTACAGTGGGGGATCCCTGGGTGGCGCAGCGGTTTAGCACCTGCCTTTGGCCCAGGGCGCGATCCTGGAGACCCGGGATCGAATCCCACGTCGGGCTCCCGGTGAATGGAGCCTGCTTCTCCCTCTGCCTGTGTCTCTGCCTCTCTCTCTGTGTGTGTGACTATCATAAATAAATAAAAATTAAAAAAAAAAAAAAGAAATTTACAGTGGAATAGCTTCCACTTCTAAGAGGTTTATGGCACACCAATACTCAAACTAAAAAAGACAGATTTTTAAAAATAGATAAAAAATGAAAGCAAAAACCTGGCAGTAATTTAAATATCCAGTAATAGCATATTGGTTGAATTATTACCTTAGCTAGTTTCACTTTCTAGTTTGAGTTACCTGTGTGGTCAACCCCTGAGTCAGGAAGCAGACAATCCTTCTGATGTATATCAGGTTAACAGCAGCCCACCTAATTCTACATCACAAAACCTAGGTCATTCCCTTCACTTCATCTCATCACATAGGCATTTCATCAGTTCACATCATCACAAGAAGTACAGTACAATCAGACATTTTGAAAGACCACCTTGACACAACTTTCATTACAATATGTTATAAAAGTTCTATTATTGTTTATTTCTCACTGTGCTTCATTATAAAGTATCATAGGTCTGTATATATAGGAAAAAATACAGTATATATAGGGTTCAATACTATTCAGGGTTTCAGGAATCCAGTGGAGGCTTGGATGGTTAAGAAGGGACTACTGTACCTAACATTCAGGTATGGAATATGTTATTAATCCAATTTATTACTCTTAAGACTATTTAAAAATAGAAAAGCTCATAGAGTAAAGGGAACAGGAGGACAATGTGACAGTAAATTTTAAAATACAAGAAAAGGGGATGTCTGGGTGGCTCAGCGGTCGAGTGTCTGCCTTTGGTCAGGGTGTGATCCTGGGGCTCCGGAATCGAGTCCCATATTGGGCTCCCTGCATGAGCCTTCTTCTCCCTTGACCTGTGTCTCCGCCTCTGTCTCTCATGAATAAATTTTGAAAAATCTTACAAAAAAAAAAAAAAAGAGAGAAAAGTTTCTTTCCATTTGGAAACACGAATATGTTTAGTGATTATCTGAGCAGTAAAACAGAAATGGTATTTGTTGTCTTTCCCAAATTTTTAAAAATGTGCTTTTATAATCAGAAAAATGTTAAAATAAAAAAGGGGGGAGAAGTCTATTTATGTAGCTTAAAATACATACTGTTTGTGCAAATCTATTTCTATTAACCCTGAATATTACCAGCTTTTGTGTAAAGTATACTTACTGAGTTCAAAGGCCCAACTACCTATAATTGGGAACTCTTTTATACAGCACTTAATTTTTTAAAATGTAAACCTTTTATAATTATCATGTTTGGTTACCTCAGTAAACAAGTTAGCAAAATTAATATAATCTTTTCAGGAAAATTAAAGGTCGTTATTCTGATATATTTATTGTATTAGATTGTAAAACAGTGACACCTTCTAGTTATTTTTGGACATGAAGTTTATCTTCTCCTTTAGCTCAACTTTCCAGGACTGCTGCTTCAGGGATGGTACTTTCCCACTTCAATATTAGGGTGTAGGGCCACCTTACTCAAAACATTAACAACATTGCCTAGGAGCTTTTTTTTTTTTTTCAAAGATTTTATTTATTCATGAGACACACAGAGGCAGAGACAGGCAGAAGGCGGCTCCCTGTGGGAAGCCTAATGAGAGGACTTGATCCTAGGACACCAGGATCATGACCTGAGTCAAGGGCAGATGCTCAACCACCGAGCCACCCAGGTGCCCCGCCTAGGAGCTTTTTAGATATACAAAAGCTCAGGACCCACTCTTAACCAATGGAATCAGAATCTGCGTTTTAAAAAGATCTCCAAGTAACTTGTTAAATTAACACATTAAATTTTGAGAAACACTGCTCTAGGTTATCCCTTTTGTCTTTATACCTATGTGAAGCTTGGTTTTGTAGTGCTCTAGTTGAAACCAAGTGTTTTTCCACACCGCCCTTATATATCCATTACTTCCATCATGCCCTGTGCACAGTTTTGTGGGTCTACAGATCAGTAGAAGCTACACGGGAAATGAGATAATCAAATCCTATTTGTAAAATTCAAGTATTTTGGAATGCCTGAGTGGCTCACTGGTTGGGTACCTGGCTTTGGCTCAGGGCATGATCCTGGATTCCTGGGTTCGAGTCCCGCATCGGGCTCCTTACATGGAGCCTGCTTCTCCCTCTGCCTGTGTCTCTGCCTCTGTCTCTCATGAATAAGAAAAAAAAAAACTTAAAAAAAAATCAAGTATTTCCATGCAGAAACCCTCTCACATGGAAGAGATAAAACAGCTCTGATATTTAAGCTCTAGGGCTTCAGGTACTTCTGAAGTTCTTTAATGTACAGGTTCTTAAAAATCTGATTGTCTGCTGATAATATTTATAGGGTATAACTGTAATGTGATTTTATTAATATGCCATAATTTATACACCCACCTGATTTCTGCCCTCTTCAAAGCAGTCACCCTGAAAAAGAGAATACACACAATTTCCTTTGTATAAAAACTATCACTTTTCTTTCAGAACTATTAGGAAAGATAAAATATAGGAAATTCCTTATTACTCTTTAGCCATATCTAAACAAAAATAATTACTAATTTAATCACTTCTTCAATTAACATCAGTAATTCAGAACTATCTAGTAACTCACTATTTGAGTAATTTCCACAAATTGAATACACTAAGTCTGCAAAGACTTATCACCCTAGTGGACATCCATAGGTATTTAAAGCCACTTTTAAAAAGTTACAGAAAAGGAGGCACCTGGGTAATTCAGTTGGTTAAGGGGCCAACTCTTGATTTTGGTTCAGGTCATAAGATTGAGTCCTGCATCAGGCTCCACCCTGGGTGCGAACCCTACTTATGATTTTTTCTTCTCCCACTGCAACCCCCCTCCACACCCCCAACCCCAACCACCACCCAGCTTGAGCACACGCATTCTCTCTCTCAAAAAAAAAAAGTTACAAAGATAAAAGGTTTGAAATAAACATCATCTCCTTTAAAGAGAATATTCATTTAGATATATAATCTGGCAGATCTCTTATTTAAAAAGTCACAGTACTTCATATTTGGCATATACTCTAAATTTTTTCATTTATAATACATAAGTTAATGACAAAGCAGAGAAGCAAATTTCAGCTTTAAAAAAATAAAAAACACAGCACACTTCAAAAATATACTTTAATTCCAAAAGAGGTTAGTCTAGAACAGCCAGTATCATTTTCTATTTCTATGAGTAAAGCAGTGAAAGAAACAATTCGCTATAATAAACAACATTGCTTTTTACATTTTTTTTCCCCTTTTTACATTTCTTTAACAAGTTTCCTTATTTGTATACATACTATACATGCTACCTACCTTAGACTTAAGAGTCCTAACAGGATTAAAACATATTTTTGCATCTACTATTTTACACCTAAAAGAATAAAGACCACGTCTGAACATAGAATAGCCTCATATCTTAAACCCAAGTTTAATAATTAGTGTCCTCCAGAGAAGGAAACTTTCATACATTATTAATGACTCAATTCCATTAAAAAAAAAAAAAAGATTTCAGCAAATGTGAAAAAAGAAAATCCTGTTGTTAATTCATGATATGAGGGGAAAAAAAGAGCTAATTCATTCTTCTACAGAAAAAGAGGATTTAGAGAACAATTCTGATAGCATTTCACATGGTAAAGTATCAAAAGTCTAATAACCAGTCCCCTTGCTCAGGACAAAATGATTTCAAGATGCTCCTCTTCTGAGTTGCTCAATAACCCCAAGTGATTTTTAAATTGGGAGGCAGATTACTGGCAATCAGTTCATCAAATTTAGATCTATCATGAACAGGCACATTATAGAAATCAAGAACATCTCTGACCCTGCACATCTGGTGAAGCCTGGAGTTGGGCACTGCATGGCCCAAGTCATCAGCTAAACGTGACAACAACCCGAATTTCAGATGACCATCTTCCAGGGACACGTCCTGCCAACTGCTAGGAACAGATGAACCAAAAATTTCTCTGACACAAGATTCCACACGACTCTGGAGATCTTCAGGTGGTATGTATGTTCGGCTTCGTAAGGGTGGACACACCAAAATAGGTTTTTCCTTCACCTCTTCTACTGTCTCAGGCACCAATGGCTTCTTCTCTTTTCTGCAATGATCAAAAACAAATATGTGACTCTTTGGTTAACTGCACTAATGTACCTGACAAGCTGATGAACACCAGACCCAATCTTATCCATCTATCTAAATCAATAAAGAATATGCACATTTACTATTCTTTTAGGCACTGTAGAGAGAATAAGACAGACAGATTCCCGCCTTTGGAAGCTTATAACTGAATTGAACTGGTATACACAGAAAAGAGAATTACAGGTTTTACGTGCTCTAAGTTTTCCCAAGAAGAGGTAAAATAGTAAATCATTTGCCTGGGATTCCCAGTTTCCAAATCCAATCTACCTCTCTAACCTCACCTCCTACTAATCTATACATACTCTATGCTCCACCCAAACTAAACTACTACACTCTTTCCTGGTGTCATGTGTTGTCTCAAGTTATATCCTATTGGAAATGCCTATCTTTCACCTTCACCTATAGAAAACTTAGTTTAAGTCCCAAAACAGAATTGTTCTCTTCCAAGTTTTACTGGGCAGCCCAGGTGGCTCAGCGGTTTAGCGCCACCTTCAGCCCAGGGTGTGATCCTGGAGACCTGGGATTGAGTCCCAGGTCGTCGGGCTTCCTGCATGGAGCCTGCCTCTCTCTCTCTCTCTCTGTCTCTCTCATGAATAAATAAATAAGGTCTTTTTAAAAAAAAAAGTTTTACCTAATTTCCCCAAATATAATTTTAAATTCCTCTGATCTACTATAGTTATATTGCTTTCACAGCATATTGCATCCTACCTGAGTTTTAGTTTTTTTACATTCTACTTCTCTTACTAGATCAGGGTTTCTCAACCCAAACACTGACATTTTAGACCAGGTAATTCTTTGTTGTAGGGGGCTATCATGTTCATTATAAGATGCTCAGCAGCATCCCTGGCCTCTATCCAGGGTAGGGTAAATGCTAGTAGCATTTGTCATAACCAAATGACATTGCCAAATGTCCCGATGGGCAAAATTATCCCTGGTTAAGAATCACTGCACCAGATTATAAACTCCTGAATACAGAGACCTGTTTTACTGATTTGGGGGTCCTTTGAAAACTGCCTAAATAACTAAGTACATGGGCCAATGTTAGGAAATCTGCCTGATATGCTACTTCAGTGCTTAATCAAATATTAGTTCATGATCTGACTCTTGTTTTCCATGAGGTTGGTATTGGATGGGATTGGTCATCCTTAGAGAAATTGGAGACGTCAGAAAAAAATGATGTGGGGGTGTGGGGGGGAAGCAATAAAGAAATCATGTCTGGCCAAGAATATGGTTTGTAGCACTTTCTCCTTGCCTACGCAAAGACTTTTCCTGCAATTTAGCTCTCATTCTGCATCAATTCTTTTATCAGTTTCTTCAACTGATACTGTTCCCAGGGCTGTATATACCTCCCATCTTTAAAGAAAAAATAATACCCCCTAGACTCCATGTTCCTATCCAGTTTCCCAAAGAGTTGTTTACACTATGTCTATCTACTTCATCACTTGCCATTTTCTCTTCAAACTACTCCAGTCCCATTTCATCAGAATGAAATGTAACCCATTCCTTCCATCTTGGTAATCTCTTACACTGCTCTCATTTTCTTCACAATTTACACTTTGAAATTATATTCGTTTGTTTTTTTTGTTTGTTTGTTTGTTTTTTCCTTCATCAGAATATACACTTTAGGAAGACAAATAGGAAGACAAATGTTTGGTCTACCTTACTAACAACTGTATCCCTGGGCAGCCCAGGTGGCTCAGCGGTTTAGCGCCACCTTCAGCCCAGGGCGTGATCCTGGAGACCCGGGATAGAGTCCCACGTCAGGCTCCCTGCATGGAGCCTGCTTCTCCCTCTGCCTGTGTCTCTGCCTCTGTGTCTCTCATGAATAAATAAATAAACTCTAAAAAAGCAAACAACTGTATCCCTAACACCTAAACATCTGACATATAGTAGACACTCTACAAACTTGTGTTGAATGAGTGGATGAAACAAACCTGAGGGAAGCTAATAAATCCATTGAACAGGTGACGAAAATTCTTCGGAATGGAAAGTTTCTGCTTGAAACCCGAGGGCACAAATTGTTCGCTGAGGTGCCCACAAGTCTTGGTATGAGTCAAATAGATTTACCTTCAAATTATTCCGATGGTGCTGAGGGAAAAGCAGCAGACTTAGAGGGGGAGTCAAAGACCTGGGTTCTGGTTCCAGCTGTGACACTGAACTTGTTTTTGGCAAAACACTCCCTCTCGGTGGAGCCTCGGTTTTCTCATCGGTCAGAGTACTTACGCTCTGAGGAGGGCCTTTATTCTCGCCGCTGTAAACTGCTTAGGGATAGGCTGGCCCAGAGCCGACGTTTAGTAACTACCTGTCGAGTAGATCAATGAATGAACAAACGAAACAGAACGAGGGGGCCGCACTTCACTTCTGAACCTGGCCTGTGAAGGAAGGTACCGCGCCAGGGAGCTTCGTTCACCGACCACTTTCACGTCCACGTGCTAGGCTGCTCGCTCCAAACGAGCCACTCGTTTTCGGACACCGCACTCAGCGCCTGGAGCGCAGGGTCAGTACTGTTTGCTTAATAAATTAATGAGTGCTTAAAAAAAAAAAATCAATCAATTAGTGAGTGAAGTGGGAGGGGGAAAGAGCGGTTGCTCCGTGGTAAGAAAGTTGCGGCCAAGACGGGCGGGTGGGGGGGGTCCACCACTCCAGGTGGCTCACGGTTCTGAACTCCGAACCCTAACCCAAGCCGCAAGACCGGGGTCCCGTCCTTTTTTTGTTTTTTATTTAAAAATTTTTTTTAATTTAAAAAAATTATTAAAAAAAAGTTTTTACATTTAAAAAAAATTTTTTTAAAGATTTTTTTAAAATTTATTTATTCATAGAGACACAGGCAGAGGGAGAAGCAGGCTCCACGCAGGGAGCCCGACGCGGGGCTCGATCCCCGGTCTCCGGGCGCCAAGCCGCTGAGCCCCCCCGGGCGGCCCGGGTCTGTCTGAATAGCACGCCACAGGCTTTCGGATTCGTCCTTTCACCCTCCCCAGTTTCTCCCCTTACTTTCCCTGAAACAGACCCACCATCCACCCTTCCGCTTTACCTGAATCGAGACCAAAATTCTCTCCGCGGTGCCCCGAAGACGACCCACGCGAGGCCTCTTCTGGTAACGCCAGACGCTGACAGCGCCGCCATCTCGGAGGAGAGCAGCGGGCTACCGCGCTGCCTTCAGCCGGCAGCGTCGCGCCAACAGCAGCCAATCAGGTGTAAGCTTAGTGGTAGGTGTTCCCTTTTTCCTGTTAAGCATCACAAGCCGCTACCTCACCCCTTTGCACGCCGGGAAATGTAGTCCGGGGACCATGGCCGACGGAGGCTGGACCGAGGCGTTCTCTCAGAGCATGCCGGGAGTTGTAGTCCAGGGGCGTCCCGGGAACGTTCCGGGTGACGCCTTCTGGTCCGGGGGCGGGCGGTCATAGCGCTCCTCGGCTGAAAGGAGGAGGAACTGGCAACCGGGAGGAGGCTCCGGGAGGAGGCCTGAAAGGCTGCGCAGCAAGGTGGGGAGGGAATTTGGGGTTGGGGGACGGCCAGATAGCGCGTCTGATATGCTGCTGGGGTCGTGACCGCTCGGGGACCGAGGCAGGACCTGGCCAGGCGCACCCTGCAGGCCTCGCCTCCGTCGGGCCTAATTTCCAGCGGCTGGGTAGGCCTCACGAAAGGTTCCTCTCCGTGCGGCCGCCGCGGGTTCCTGCCCTGATTTTCTGTCCGGGAGATGGCCTCGCCGAGCCCCCCGCCGGAGCCAAAGGTAAGCCCCCTCCTGCGGGTATCCGCGTTCTCTCGCCACTACCGGAGCTAGGCCGCGCCCCCCCCGCCCCCCGTGGTCTTCAGGGCCAGCGATGTGCAAGGAAGTACCGACCCGTAGTGCTCTGGATGGCATCGCAAATTGCTCGCTTGGCCTTTTTTTTTTTTTTTTTTCTCAAGAGCGACTTGATAAATCAGTTGAAGACCATTAGTAATGTTCAAACAACCGGCCTCATTGCTGAGTTCTTCCAGGTGAGGCACCATTTTTTACCTCCCCTCGGGTCTTGTGCGCCTGTCTTCGATGCTCCGACCCAAGGTAGGCGCTTAGAGCACTTCCTGGGATTGAACAGGGTCCCAGGCCAGTGCGGATAGAGTTTGGAGCCGGGCAGTGAGGTGCAGGAAACTTGGAGAGTTGGCGGGGGCAGCTTACTAAAATAGAAATGTTCGGGTATGATCACTAAACTAGAAAAGTTCTATCCTTAGGACCATCACTACTGACGACGAGGATCCAGTGCAGTCATCCTCTAGTTTGAGGTGCTTGTCTGTTCCAGAATTGGGCCCCACTTGGAGCTCTTGGACACACCTTGGTCGTCCTAGCCTACCTGGCCCCGATAAGCGATTGCTTCTGCTACTTTTCAGTCGTAGAATTGTCCTTGAGACAAGAACTGACTACAGAAATCGTACTATTTCAGGACTTGCTGACATTTGAGGATGTGGCTGTGTTTTTTACCCAGGAGGAGTGGGATTATCTGGATCCAGCTCAGAGAAGCCTGTATAAAGATGTCATGATGGAGAATTATGGAAACCTGGTCTCACTGGGTAAGAATCTTTTTTTGTTCCTCTGATTAACCTATGGAAGAGGCTACAAGAAATCAGGCCCTGAGAACACTTGGACCACTACTGGCACCAAGGCTGCTTTGTTCCAAAGTTCTGATTTAAGTCTTTCAGCCATTAATTGTTTCCATGACTGTCATCCCTGGTGTCCTTGCAATAACCAAAATACAAGCCTTTCTGGCTTCTTGTCTTCATAATCTCATTCCCATATTGCTCTGTACTTTCCCTCCTGGCTCATCCTCCCACTGCTTTCCTCCCACCCCTTTTCACTCTGCCTTCTGGAGCCCCTGTTCTTCTTCACATAATGTTCCTTACCCCTCCTGGCCTTAACTGAAAACTGGCACTTTCCCAAGGACACCACTTCTCTGGCAGAGGCTGCTTTTTCTCCCACACCCTCTTTTTTCCCCTATCCTTTGTCTCAGGGCTAGAAGGGAGCAGTTACTGTTCTATACCTTTTCAGGGCTGTTCCCAAAGCATTAGTTTAACCCTTCAAACAAAATCTCTCTCCTGGGAGGCCTCAGCCATCTTGCTCTGTCCACTCCGTTCCTTTTCACTGTCATCTGCAACATTTCTTGGTCCCTCACATACAGATTTTGTCACATTTCACAATCTTCTCTGTGCCAACTTATGTCATCAGTGATGTAGCTATTACTTAAGCCTCACTATATCCTGACTATATATCTTCAGGGACCTTGCTTTCCTTTTCTGTTCAATTCGCATCAATGGTGAAACCCTCAATTTTGTCAAAGCAGGCCGATCTTACTCTTTGAAAATTATCCAGGCATTTTTCATTATTATTTTCGACTGACTAGGCGGGTGACCAAAACAGATGTGCTCTCTGCCCATGTGGAGCTTACTATGACTTCTTACCTTTCTGCTTTTCCTACTCCTTTCCTTCTAATCCTACTTATTCTTAATCATGTTTCCTGTTCCTTAACTTCTCCTCTTGCTCCAGATTATAAATCCTCTCCTAACTTCACCTCCTTATCTAATCCCTGGACCTCCATAGGAATTATCACCATTATGCTTTCTCGCCGCCTTATTGTGCTCTACCCAAGTCTGCAAAGTTTAAGTTTTGTGTTGGTTATAAGATCTGGCTTTTCTCTTCTCCTACCAGAGTTGCTAAACACAGCAGGAGAAATTCTTTAACTGAAGGGGTTGATGCCCTATATTTATGCATAGCTTTTCTTCTAGTCTGCAGTGGGTTTTTACATCTCAGCCAATTTTTTGTCATTGATTTGCTCATTACCTGCTTCCTTTCAACGACTGTCCCAAAACTAAAGTGGCTCAGCGGTTTGGCACCTGCCTTCAGCCCAGGGCATGACCCTGGAGACCCGGTATTGAGTCCCGCATCGGGCTCCCTGTGTGGCGCCTGCTTCTTCCTCTGCCTATGTCTCTGCCTCTCTGTCTCTCATGAATAAATTAATAAAATCTTAAAAAAAAAAATACTTGTGTAACTGAATGAATGAATATACTTAAGAATCAGTACCTCTTGACTAGATTATTACATTATTCCATAAACTAGCCCCTTGCCTCCAATCTCCCTTTCTATATACTGCCACCAAAGTGATTTTGTTAGTTAACGGCTTTCAATTTCCAATTCCTGATAGCTTAAATGAATCTTAAGCTTAACAAGAATCTTAATTCTTGTTATACCTAGTAGAGCCTTTCTGAATAGCCCCTGCCTGGCTTCTTAGAATCATCTATTTCTTGCACACCTCTTCAGTCTCCAGCCATATCAGCTGCTGATTTTTCTTTTCTCCAATATATCATGGTGTCTCTGAGTCATTGCTAGCTTTATCCACACATATGGTATCCTGGTTGATAGAACCAGGCAAATGCCCAGCCTTGCCTTCCTCTACTACTGTAAAATGTGAGTACCATATGGACAAAGGCAGGGTAGTGAGCCCATCTGTTGATCTCCTACTTTCAGGCTCTTATTTTAGCTGAACTACAGCTTTTTATCGGTTATTATTTCTCCCTCCACAAACTTTTCATCTTTCTCTGTGGACTCTGTCGCCATTTCTTTGATGAGAGCTCTCCTAGTGAAAGATCGTAATTACTTGATTTTTCCAGTACAGTGTTTTCCTGCACTTCATCTTGCTGCTTTACTTATTACTCTTCCCACTTTAGTTTGGTCTTTTATTCTGGTTTTTCTTTAAACACTTTAGTAACTACATTGATAATATAGGTGACAGTTTGATCCCAGTTCTTAATCTTTCAGTTCTTTCAAATGAAATGGACTTCTTCAGTTTAATGACTCCTTTCCAGTCTACTTGAGCTATATTGGACCTTGACAGAATTGGGAATTGCTGTCCCTGTAAGACCTTAAACTCACCGTTTCTCTTCTTAGAGTAGTCTCTCCTCAGTTGTTTGTTCAGCACTCATCCATTCAGTAAATAGTTAATCAAGCACTGTGCCAGCACTAGGAATGCAGATTATTCCCCATTCTCTCATTCTTTTACCAAGAAAACTGTTCTTTTTATATCTTTTTATACTCTTGGGTACTGGTCCACAGGCCAAATGTGGCACGCTGTTTTTATAAAAAAAAAAAAAAAAGAAAAGAAAAGTTTTACTGGAACAAAGACATTCCCATTCTTTATGTATTATCTATTACTACTTTCATGCTATAGTGGCAGAGCTGAATAATTCCAATAGAGACCATATGGCTCACAAAGCCAAAAATATTTATTGCTGGTCCTTTTTAGAAAATGTGTGGTAACTCTTATTTTGTCCCAAAGT